TCAAAAGATGGCTTAGTTATTTCAGAGCATAGAAAAAAAACTTCTTGAAGCTTTGGTTGTCTTGTCTGACTGCATCTGTTTTCCTTGTACTTACCTATCAGGTACAGGGTGCATCTATGCAAGATGTTTGTTGTGCAGTTGACTAATTAGCTACGCAGTAAACATTTCAGTATGTACATGTGCATCCCTATTAGGCTGGAGTAAACTAACTTACTCTGCAGTAGGATAGTACTTGTAAATACTCTGGAAGGGCTGGTTGAGGAACAAGGGTGCTTCCAGCTAGCCTCTCCACAGCACATTAAGCTGGTAGGGAGCAGCCCTGGGCTGGCAAGGTGACCCCGTGGGCCTTCTACCTGCTGGGACTGTTCTTCCTTGGCTCCATGTGCTGTACATGAATAAACTGTGGACCTTATTGCTCCAGAATTTATTATTCCTGGCGACGCTATTTGAGTGTGCACCAAGGAGCCCTAAACTCCATGGTTTCTTCATGTGCTGTAAATTGCATGTGTAGACATACCCACTGAATAGTATTTTGTGTCTGGAGCAGCATTTAGTGTCCATATATCTTTGTGCCATACCACATTACTATCTAAAACCAGTGTCTTCAGCTTGCCAAGCTAAACACACAAAAGTCTGGTATTAATTTTGTATGTAACCCTGTTGGGCAGAAATCTGGTTGCTCTGAAGCCTGTTGTCACAGAAAAGAGAGATGAAGACAGGCCTGATTCATAGTTGTGATGCTAGATAATTTGATTTGACCTGCAAATATTCAACATTTTAATTCTTTATAATTAGAATTTATGTTCTCCCTGAGGTCTCTTCTTAGAAATCAAAGCATGTGCTTGGTTTAGTGAAGAACATGTAAAAGCCCAACCATCAATAATGGGATTAAATCAAAATGTGAGCAGCGGCAACAGTAACCTTTGACTGAGAGTAATAATATGTATTACCCTTTCTGTGATAAATGAACTAAGACGTGAATGAATTTTCATTTATTTATGTTGAGATTGTGCTACACAGGCTTATGTTGCAAGGGTGTTGAGAAATAGTGGGTGCGTCTACATGAAATGCTACTGTGCACTGGTTACTGCACATTTATTTAGTACTTATATAAGCAAGTACTATATAAATGTGCAGTAACTGGAGTTACTGCGCAGTAGCAACAGTGAATGCCTTTTAACTGCTGCTACTGCACAGTAGCCTAATGCTACTTCACAGTAGCATCTCGGCATGGTTTTTGCCACATGATGCTACTGTGCAGTAATATCAGGCTACTGCACAGTCAGCATCTCATGTAGACATGTCCACTGTGTTACAGGGACCACTGTAAGAATTGGTCCCCAAATAGTTTGAAGGAATCTCTTAGGATGTTAAAACCTGCTCCTTTCTGTGTGGACCAGTGTGGAGGGGAGGAGAATTATATCCATTCTGTACCCTACCTATTCTGGGGTAATGTGTACCTCTGCATGTGCAAGAAAAAGCAGTGCCTACATTCCTTCTAATGATGGGACTTCAAACGTTTCCAATCCTTTCCAGAGGACATAAGGGCTACGCAATCTTTTTGTGTGCAACTATGCAGGACCCAGATGCATTCTTAAACTTGTACCTTTTTTTTCCTTTTCAAAGGTAAGAAAATCTGTCATCATAACTAGGGATCTTAGATTTCTCTGTTTAAACAACAGAAATTATCTGATAAAAATCACAAATTCTTTGATTAAAACACCCAAGATTTGCATTTTTCCATGATTAAAATGAAACACCACTATGTGTATGTGTGTGTGTGTGTTTTGTGTCTGTATAGTTGAACACGATGTTTTATTGATATATTTACCATTTTAAAGCAATTTGAAAGCCTATCAGTTCCTCAATCACTATAATAAAATAAATTCTAAATACCTGCAATTTTTGGCATTTGACTTTGGATTTTTTAGCATGGAAAAACAGAACCCCACCCTGCCCCCTTCACTCACCAGGGTGCAGGTCCAGGCCCCTTACTTCCAATCCATAGCCCCCCAGCACTACTGGTGCCCCTTGTTCCCTACCCACAGCCCCCTGGACCCTGCTGGTGCCCTCACTCCACACCCACAGCCCCCCAAAGCCCTGCCAGTGGGGGTGCCCAGCTGCTAGGGGGCCAAAGACCCAGGTCTGCAGCCCCCTGCTCCCCACAACAGTGCCCGAGACCTGGCTGCCATATGTGGGAGGCAGCAGCTGCTGCAGCAGATGAAGCACAGAGCCCATCTCCCCCTCTCCTGTAGAGGGCACAGCCCATCAGAGCGGAGCAGGTGTGGGCTCCCTGCCCTGCTGCCCTCCCCCCAGGGCTTCCGTGGCCCAGCAGGTGAGACCCAGCATGGCAAGGCAGACCAGGGCCGGGTGGGAACGTTCAATGCCACCATCGTGAGCCCTACACTGCCATGGTGAAGTGCCCCCTGCCTGCCCAGCAGCAGCAAGGGGTGGCAGCACAACTCTGGCAGCTGCTGCACCTTGCCAGATGTTACATGCGATTTTCCTGAAACAAATGGTAACTTGCCAGATGTTACAGGAATTTTCTGGTTCACACAGCAGTTCTTTGTCATGCCAAGGCAAATTTAACATCTGCCTAGGTCACTACCCTCCACAATCCCACTGTCCCCCTACTCACAGGTGGAGGAAGGGGAGGAGAGTAGACAGCTGTGACAGTGTGAGTGTTTAACGCTCCTGAGCAGATGCCTAGAACAACCCTAGTCCCTGTGAGGCAGGAGGGCAGGGAGCAAAGGAGCTCTATTACTTTTGCTGCCTGTAGTGCTACAAATGTTATAGCGTTGTAAAAATAACATCTGCAGGGGGCCTAAGAGGCACTATTAGATACTACTTGTCTTATTGTTAAGTTGTTAAGGTAGTGGTGAAGTCCCAGCTCCTATTAAACAAAAACTATCAATAAGAAATATGAAAAAGTCCTTTTTGTTGCTGTTTTCAGCAAGCCTTGCTGTCTGGCAGGAAAATTACAAACCCAGGAACATTTATTTTCATTGCGTTATCTTGAAGTAAAGTTTTTTAGTTGTTGTTTTTCAGAACAAAAATGATGAGACGAACTTATACCATTTGATTTGTGATACTTTTTGACTTTTAGGGGGAACATCTTCAAACTAGCCTCTGTGTATCATCTGAATGTCCGCCTACAGTTTTGTCTTCATAAACATTTCCTCTGCAAAACACAAATTGTTCAAACAGTTTTAATATATACCTACTTGATACAAGACAGAGCGTTTGATTTGGAAGAACAAATGAATTTGCATATAGATATTCTCTTTTACTGGTGCCAAAGTTTCAGTTGTGAGCAATAGGCTAAAAACCATTTATATTCTCTAAAAGTTATACCATAGGTAGATAGATAATGCCAACAATATAATATTTTTTTTATCATCTATTTTGCCTAAATTTCAGATCACAAGCTTGCTGTGGTCTGCAAAGAACTGCCCATGGGGGAAGTTGGTTGAAATTACAGTTCCTGCTAAGGAAAAGATTGAACAATCTTGCTTTCCTGAAACCTACATGAACAAATTGATACATTTAGAAATACTGTATTTTCTTCAATCCAAGACAAGGTATTTTTCCCCACTCGACGTGCAGGGAAAAGCCCCTTATCTTGGATCTGAGTTCAAGGCAGATCAGAAGGGGGCAGAGTGGCTGGACTGGGGCCACAGTCAGAGTTGCAGCAGCCGTTTCCCATAGCCTCTGCCTCCTGCCTGTCCCCCATAAACTGTGTCCCCTCTCCCCCTGCAACCATTCACTGCTTACTGTTAGGTGCAACTCTGGCTTCATTCCCACCTGGCACAGAGTCTATGGAAGCTCCAGCACCTGCCCAGTCAAGCAACAGTGGCAGCTCTATCCCTGGGATGCTACTATGCAGTTAGGCAGGGCCTTCAGCTTCCATGTGATTCATGCCCTGGGTAGGGAGTGGAGCCACAGCTAACAGTAAGCTGTGGGAGGGAAGGGACCAGAAGCTGTGGAGGCAGGCAGTTGCAGAGGCTAAGGGGGGCAAAGGCTGCAAGGAGAAGGCAGGGGGTAGAGGCCGCAGGGGACATGCCAGGGCATAGACCGCAGTGGACTACCAGGTGCAGAGGCTATGAAGAGCAGCCAGGGGGGCAGAGGATGTAAGGGGCAGAAAATGTGGGGAGGTCAGGTGGGGGGGTAGAAGTTGTAAGGAGCAAGCAGGAAGGCAGAGGCTGCTGAGGGCAGACAGGACATGCAGCAACAATGGCATAGGCATGGCGGGGAGCTATGTGCCAGGGGACACAGACATGGGGAGGAGGCAGCATAGGGTTCAGGCACCACGGGTGGAAGGCAGACTGCAGGGGGAGCAAGGTGGCCACCTACTACCCTTACCACATACTTCCCTGCCACTGCCTTCCTCGCTGCAGCAGGAGGGGGAAAGAGGTGGATTTATAGTGGCCCCCCAATAATACATGGACAAGTATAATAAATTTACAAATTTTCCATATATAGTCTAATGATTTGTGGGGGAGTATTGTCTTACATTCAGTCATCTTGGATTTGGGCATATATGGTAATTTGGGAAGTTGAGACTATTAATATAGTATCAGTTACATGAGGTTGTTCTTCATTTTACTTTGTCTGACAGAAATCTGTTAAGATAAATTGAGATGGGATATATTCTAGTATCCAAACAATACAGCTCACTATGGTATATGGCATTGTGAAATATAATGAAATGTGACTGTGCACACACACACACATCTGCTGTTACTGAAGGCAAGAGTTTTATTGATATAACTTGAAAAATAGCTTTGTAAAGTTATGTAGGTATTGTTGCAATACATTTTCTCAGATTAACTGTTAGTCATATAGAACTTGGAAATATTACTCATCTATATACATATATGTATGAAAATGAGGGAGAAGTATAGTAACACTGTAAACTATATTCTTATATATGTATAGAGAAAAGAAAATTGAATTGATATATGCATAAATTCTTTCTTCTCTTTTCTTTTTTACTGTAGGATTGCACAGTGTATGAAACAGAAAATAAAATTCTTCATGTGGTAAGTAGTTTTAATATTTCTGCTTTGATATGTGCTTAAGCATATGTATTTTTAATATGGTTTAAGAAAATAAGATTTCTTAGAATATGGCAATGGATAATAGCAGTTATTAAGAGCTGAGTTTTATAAATTGACAGATGATAAGGCCAGAAAAGATGGTTGCTATTATCTAGTTTGATCTTCTGCATAATGCAGGCCATAGGATTTTCCTGAATTTCCTGAATACTCTTCTAGAACTTAGAACACCACCGGAAGTGGACACAGCATTCCCCTCTTGGTGACTTCAGTGCCAAATATGGACACTGGATGCTACCGACTTCTGTGTGGTAGTCCTCTGTGTTTACATCCAAGGTTTTCATTAGCCTTTTTGTCTACAACATTGCCCTGAGAGCTCTTGTTCACCTAATTATTGTCAATGTCCACAAAGTCCTTTTCAGTCTCCAGTCTTTTAAAAAGAGCCTAAATTCTTTGTTCTTATATATGCAACGGTATTAAAATACATTTTTTTTTACTTTTATGCAGTTTACTGAGAATCTAAATTACACTTCAAGATTGACATGTTTTGCTTACTTATCACTCCCATTAAATTTGTGTCAGCTGCAAACTTTATCTATAATGATTTGATTTTCTTCCAGATCTTGACTAAAAATATTAAATAGCTTATGTCAAGACCCTGGGACCTGGGAGTAATAATAGATTACAGTATGAATATGAGCCAGCAGTGTGATGCTGTAGCCAGCAGGGCAAATAATATTCTGGCATGCATCAACTGATGCATCTCAAACAAAACCAAAGAAGTGACTCTACTCAGTATTAGTGAGACCACAGCTGGAGTACTGCATCCAGTTCTGGGCACCACACTTTAACAATAATGCATTAAAGCTTGAGAGAATCCAGAGAAGGGCCACCCGTATGCTTGAGACTTGCACGGCAAGCCATATGAGAAAAGGCTGAGGTATCTGGGACTCCTTGGCCTCAAAAAGAGAAGGCTGAGAGGGGACTTGGTAGCAGCTAACCACTACATCAGGGGAGTACATCAAGGGCTCAGTGAGCAACTGTTTACCAGGGCACCCTTGGGGAAGATGAGGAGTAATGGCCACAAACTCCTGGAAGACCATTTCAGGCTCAACATTAGGGAAAACTTCATCACAGGTAGAGAGCCCAGACTGTGGAATAAGCTCCCTCCAGAAGTGGTGCAATCACCTACCCTGGAAATCTTCAAGAGGAAACTGGATCGTCACCTCACTGGGTCACCCCAGTCTTTCCTGCCTGGTACAGGGGGCTGGACCCAATGATCTTCCGAGGTCCCTTCCAGCCTTGCAATCTATGAATCTATGAACTTATGCCTGCAGGATCCTTCCAGAACCCTACACAATCAATGAGGAGTATCTATTTACAATTACATTTTGAGACCTATTAGTTCTTAATCCATTTAATATGTATCCTATTGAGTCGCTATTTTCCTAGTTTCTTAAGCAAAATGTGTGATGCCCAAGTCAAATATTTTACAGAAGTCTAAATACATTACAACAATACTAGTACCTTTATTTGAAATATTGTGTTAAAGGACTATGAAAATAATCTTGTTTTAGGAATTATTTTTTTAAAACAATAATGTAATGTAACTTATGTAACACTTTTGGTATTGAAAGATCTAGGGTACTTTTATATAATTTAATGAAGGCAGGATGCAAATGCATATTTTTTATTAATTTTATATCTTTTGATATGAAAATCTTTGGGGATGCAAAAAAATAATTAGGGCTGAATGATTTAGTTGGGAGCAGATAAGAATAATAAATCATCTCTCATTCACTGAAGCAACCCAAACCCAAAACTTTGATCTTTGTACTAATCACCAGTTCTTAATTACTGGTGTAAAGGCTGTTTAGAAGTCTCATGGTATTATGGAATAATACATTAACATGGGTGGTTTAAATAAAGCTTCACTGAATTCCAGCAGATAATTTGCCAGCTATACTACTTTACCTGCTAACATTGCTCGTTGGTAGGGTGCTCCATTGAAGAGCCTCGTTACACAACAAGTTTGGTGGCTTCTGGAGTTCTTAACCCCTAGACTAGCTGCATGCTAATATAACACTTTTTAAGTGGCTGAAAACATTCATTATTTGGCTTAAAGTTATGCCACTCCAGGAAAAATAATTAGGCAGAGCAAACACTGCAGCTCCAGTGTCTGGTGGCCATAGTGCCTCCCATGGCCACCTGGACTGGCTCTGTTTCTGTCAGCAGTGGCATGGAAGGTGGGCACCACCTGAGCTTAAGGGAAAAAAAGAATCAGGCACAAACCAGTGGGGTGCAGGGTGGCAGGAGCTACCTGAGCTCCAGAGAAAAAAGTATTGGGCCCCTCAGAGCAAGCGAGCTTGGGGGCTGCAGCCCTGGAGCTCTCTGGTCTCACTGAAACTCACTAGGTGCATCCCAATGAGTGTGCACATTCAGGGGCATGCATTTTCCATGGGACAGATAGCAGCAGAACATATTTGTGCTGCTGCTATTTGTTCCTGGGCATGCTCCTGCACGTGTGCTGTGGGGCACAGCAAATTGAACCAGGTGGAGTAGGAGAGGCTGGAGCCAGCAGTTGTACTGGCCCCAGTAGCCTTACCTGGGGTCCTCCCAGGGCAGCGGCAGTGCCAAGCCAGTCACTCAGAGCCTGAATGGCAGCCAGAGCGTGGCTCTGGCCTATCAGGCTCCCTTTCTGGTGGCACATATTGCAGCTGTGTGCACCACACAGCTTTTTTTAGTGATGGCTTTTTGACCCAAGGATCTCTCAGGGCATTTTTACACATGCTTCTGATGCAGCGCTGGGCATTTTTAATTAGCAAGCCACACTAATTAAAAGCATCTGTGTGTCACGTGTATCAGTGGTGTAGCACAACTCCCCGCTGAGAAAATGGTCGTGGTGCACTTTGAACTAAAGCACATTGAACGTGTATTAGTTCAAAGCATACCACCACCATTTTCTCAGCACAGAGGCATGCTGCGCCATTAATACATGTGACACGCAAGGCTGTCAGAGCGCATCATTTATGTGCTCCAGCAGACTTAATTAGTGCAGTCTGCTTTGATGCACTGGATTTCCAACACATCAGAGCAGGTTCCCCGCATGTGTGTAAGTGCTCCCAGTGTCGAAAAGACCCACCACACTGCAAATTAGCAGCAAGATGAATGGGTGTACATGCGCTGCATGCAGTTTGTGGTGCCTCAAATGGGTTAGCTTTTATTTCGAGCCATTTGCGCACACTCTAGTTTTAAAGCAAGGATGAAAATCTGTAGTAAATCACTGCTGTGCTTTTAAATTCAGACACAATATGGAATGGCTTTGTAAAAATTAGATTACTGTTGCAAATCTGGTTCTTCATGGAGCTTTTAAAAGCACCTGGAATCTGAAATTTAAAGGCTTGTATGTTTCTGAACCCTCAATTCATAATTCTAGATAAGTTAGTTCAGCAGGAATGTTGCTGTTCTTGCTATATTTGTCACTATAGATCATTTATAATGTAGTGGCAGCATGTCTTGGGGCATATACAGCTGAGCATGGCTCACTTACCCATGACTGCTGACATGCTCCAGAGGTAGAAGTTCACTACTAGGGCTACTTTAGAATCATCATCAGTGCCTGCTTTCAGGCTCTTGATCTCCAGCCACCTCAGAGTGGGCATTGCAAAAAGTGGTCAGGGTATCCTTGCTTGTGAACTCTGGCTCTGGAGCATGTCAGTTGTACTTGGGTAGGCGAGGAATGTTCAGTCCCATGAAACCTGGTGTTTCCACAGTGTAGACAGGCCCTGTCCTGGATGCATATATAGGCAGAAGGGAAGGAAGAAGAGCTCAGAGTCTCAGCAGTTCATAGAAATTCCATAGTATTCTTCCCATGTTTTCTGCTATGTCTAGTTTTCAATAGGCTTTGCCATTCCAGATGAGACTGTTAATTAATAAAGTTCAGCAGCAGTATCCTTTCTTCCAGCAGTGGCCAGTATCTGATAAATTTGAAAAGGACAAAAACAAAAATCCCCTAAACCACAAATAATATTCCTAAGTAACCATGCAGTGCTGTGCAATGGTAGAAACAATTAGCGTTTACCTTAAAATCTAAAATCTGATTTTGACTTTTAAGTCTGCATAATTAGAATTGTTATAGTGGAATTAATTAAAGATTCAACAGTCGTTTTTCCTTAAAAAAAAAAAAAATCTATGCCTGTTTTGCTCACTGTGCCTTCTTATGGTCTGAAATAAATTGAGCGATCCACATTTAGGGTCATGTGAGCAAAGAGCTCCTGAGCAAGTGCATGACATGAGATTATGTGAGACACATGCTGGAATTCAAATTTACAGAATATAACACAAGAGCATTTTCTTTTACTAGCATTCTTTTTATCTATTTCTTCTGGCAATTTATTTACCTAACCATTCACCATGGCTCTGGTCAGCTCATTAGGAGGGGAGGGATAAGGTGAGCGGTCAGAGGACAGCTAGGAGGCAGGAGTGTGACTTGGATAGGGGTCTATTTCATTTAGAAGGTCTGGGATGATATGGGAAGAAGGCAAAAGAAGGAGAGGTCCTGTAAGCAGGACTGAAACAAAAGCAGCTGGGAAGAGGTCTGTATGACTTTTTAGTCTGGTAATTAGGAGATCCTGTTTGGAGACAGGACACTGGCTTCCAGTTCTCAATCCAGTGAATATTTAATAATTTATACAAAGCAGAGTGCTAACAGGAGATATTTGGAAGTCCTAACCCAGGGGTGGGCAATTATTTTGGGTGGAGGGCCGCTTACTGAGTTTTGGCAAGCCATCAAGGGCTGCATGACAGGCTGCCGGGGCAGATAAATATTAATTGTCTAAACTTTTGAGGGGCCCCGTGAGCCAGATAGAATGGCCTGGCGGGCCGCATCTGGCCCGGGGGCCGCATTTTGCCCACCTCTGTCTAACCTCAGAAAACCTGCTAGCCTAGTTGGGGGAGGGGGAGGAGGGAGTACTTTCTGGAAGGTG